CACCTCAGCCTCCCAAGTAGCTGGGACCATAGGCATACCACCACATCTGGCTAATTTTTGTATTTTTGGTAGAGATGGGATTTCGCCATGTTGTCCAGGCTGATCTCGAACTCCTGGCCTCAAATGATCCACCTGCCTCGGTGACTTGGTATTCAAGAGATATCCATTATGATTTTTAAAATGTAGGCTCTGGCACTCAGTTAAAGGAGAAAAAAAAAGGAAGAAGTGGTGGAAGACCTCATGATTTAATGGCTGGAGTGATGCTGGCAGTAGAACAAGGATGAATCCCTGAAGAGAAAAATAGAACCTGTCAGGCAGGGCACAGTGGCTCATGCCTGTAATTCCAGCACTTTGGGAGGCCAAGGCAGGTAGATCACGATGTCAGGAGTTCAAGACCAGCCTGGACAAGATGGTGAAACCCTGTCTCTACTAAATATAGAAAAATTAGCCGGGCGTGGTGGCGTGTGCCTGTAGTCTGAGCTACTCAGGAGGCTGAGGCAGAGAATTGCTTGAATCTGGAAGGCAGAGGTTGCAGTGAGCCAAGATTATGCCACTGTACTCCAGCCTGGGCAACAGAGTGAGACTCCATCTCAAAAAAAGTTAAAAATAAAAATTAAAAAGAAAGAACTTGTCATGAGAAACAGGGAAGGGAAAGATGGCAGGTCATATGTCTAATCATATTGTATATATATATATATATGCGCACACACACACACACACACATATATATATACACACACATATATATATGTATTTTTGAGACAGGGTCTCCGGACCAGGCATGGATGCTCATGCCTGTAATCCCAGCACTTTGGAAGGCCAAGGCAGGTAGATCACTGGAGGGCAGGAACTCCAGACCAGCCTGGCCAACATAGCAAAACCCCATCTCCACTAAAAATACGAAAATCAGCCATGCGTGGTGGTGTGTGCCTATAAGCCCAGCTACTCGGGAGGCTGAGGCAGGAGAATTGCTTGAATCCCAGAGGCAGAGGTTATAGTGAGCTGAGATTGCACCATTGCACTCCAGCCTTGGTGCCTGGTGACAGGGCAAGACTTCATCTCAACAACAACAACAACAACAACAACAACAACAACAACAGAATGATATGGGATCTCTGTTACCCATGCTGGAGTGCAGTGGCACGATCTTGGCTCACTGCACTCTCCACCTCACACGCTCAAGTGATGCTCCCACCTCAGCTTCCCAAGTAGCTGGGACCACAGGAGCACCACGACGTCCAGCTAATTTTTGTATATTTGGTAGAGACAGTGTTTCACCATGTTGTCCAGGCTGATCTCGAACTCCTGGCCTCAAACAATTCACCTGCCTCGGCCTCCCAAAGTACTGGGATTATAGGCATCAGGCATGGCACCCAGCCCACTAATAATATTGGATTTAAGGTGCCAATGGGACAGCTGACAGGAAAGGTCTAGGAGAGAGTTAGCAACACAACTCTGGTGCTCAAGAGAAGTCAGGAAGCTACAGACAGAAGGAGAATTCCCTGCTCCCAGCAGCTACAGGTGTATCAAGGGAAACTGACAAAAAGGAGCCATAAAGGATGCTGAGACTGAGAAGGAACAGTCAAAGGCAATCAAGGACAGAACAGAGCATGGAAGATACAGGTGAGGAGGTTCCAGGAAAATCCAAGTAAACAGAAATTCAATTTAGCTAATGCTAGGTTGGAATACCTATAAAAACACATGAGGTTATTTTTGCTCAGGCCTAAGGTCTATCCTCTCTGTTAAATTAAAAGTAATAGTTTATTAACAGTTAGTTATTTAAACTCACTCACTGCATTCATAAAAGCCAAGTTTGTAAAACCAAAAATAATGTTTAACCATCAAACACAGCACATGACAATCAACTAGTACCATACATTACTATATTTCATGGAGAATCTGTCCGAACATAAGTTTGTCCATAAAGATGGGTTCCTGGGCTGGATGGGCCACAGGGGGGCTTTCTATGCTATATGCTCTTTGCAATCACTGATGATTTATGTATATCCTTGGATTTTGCTAACCTGCCCCTTATCTGATTCCAGACTTAGAAATGTGTGGAAACAAAGACTCTGAAAGCCCTCAATGAATCATTCATGAATCTTGTGTTTATTAAATAATAAGCACTTGAACTCTGCCTGATGAAGCCATTTATATGTAGGCAAAACAGACAACAACAACAAAAAATGTACTCTGACTAAAGGTAACAATTACATTGGAAACAGTTCCCTGATTCTCAACAGATTGACCCTTCCTTTTCTCATCTCCCATTTCAAAAGGAAACAAGCCTTTTGTAATTCCCTGAAATCTAAATAGAGATTATGTTGCAATATCTTGACTGACAAACCTCAGCTTCCTCCTCTTACCCACTTCTTCCCTGGGAGCGTGATCCCAATGTGTGGTAGCCAAAGGTTTGAAAATACATTTCTTCTAACTGCTTTGTGTGCTGCAATTAATTGCCCAGTGCCACCAATGAGATGAAATGTATTTTCTCCTTTCCGTCAAATTTCCCAAATATTCATTCATTCACTCACAATTCACTCAATCTTTACTGCTTTCCAACTGTGAGTGGTTGCAGCTTTTTTGCCTGGCTCCAGGGAGAACAGGGCAGGTGTGTACAGGCAGAGAGAATGGTGCCCTGGCTGCTTTTGGCATTTCAGTGAATTCCAAACATGGTGCTGAGGTGAAAAAAAAAAAAAAAAAAAAAAAAACCTGAGTAAAAGTGAAAATTCCTAGAAAGCTTTAGGGTTTTCCATTTCCAACATACCCACGAAGAGTGGCCACTCCTTAGGGATATGCAGGGACAATTCAGGGATGTGGTCTGGGGCAGCTTCTTTTACCACAGAAATAGGGCTACTTGCCAGGCTCAGTGACTCACGCCTGTAATCCCAGAACTTTGGGAGGTCGAGGTGGGCAGATTGCCTGAACTCAAGAGTTCGCAATCAGCCTGGGCAACACAGTGAAACGTCGTGTTTACTAAAATACAAAAAATTAGCCGGGCGTGGCAGCGTGTGCCTGTAGTCCCAGCTACTTCGGAGGCTGAGGCAAGAGAATTGCTTGAAGCCGGGAGGCGGAGGTTACAGTGAGCCGAGATGGCATCACTGCACTCCAGCCTGGGCGACAGAGTGAGACTTCGTCTCAGAAAGAAAGAAAGAAATTGGAGGCCGGGCGCGGTGGCTCAAGCCTGTAATCCCAGCACTTTGGGAGGCCGAGGCGGGTGGATCACGAGGTCGAGAGATCGAGACCATCCTGGTCAACATGGTGAAACCCCGTCTCTACTAAAAATACAAAAAACTAGCTGGGCGTGGTGTCGCGTGCCTGTAATCCCAGCTACTTAGGAGGCTGAGGCAGGAGAATTGCCTGAGCCCAGGAGGCGGAGGTTGCGGTGAGCCGAGATCGCGCCATTGCACTCCAGCCTGGGCAACAAGAGTGAAACTCCGTCTCAAAAAAAAAAAAAAAGAAAAAAAAAAAAAGAAATTGGGCTGCTTGTCTCCATACTCTATCAAGACTTTTAAACAGCAGAGTGTTGGGGCCGGATTATCAGTAAAGGACGAATGGGAAGCAGAAAGCAATACGGTTTTCAGTGGCTAACAGAGAATAAGTTCTTTTCAAACTAAGGTGTACACATTAACTCCCTTTATCCCTCAAAATTTCCTAGTGAAAATACACTGGAGGGAGGGGCACTGACATCAATATTAATGAATTGCCACAAGCCTCGGGGTAGAAGCATATAACATTGAATGCCACAAGAATCGGGACAACCAACAAGGTTTGTATTTTGGAGGTTCCTCTCCTTCGGCTTTAGGGCTGAGCACAAAACAAAAAGGCCAGAAGAAGAACTGCAGAGTGAAGAAGGCTCAGATTTGCTCGCACAGCACAGTTGTGATGCTGATCCCCTGTCTTGGGGATGTCTGTGAGACTCCACAGCCCCTGACATAGTAGGAGGTGCCGATACAATGCAGATCTGAGGGAGTCTCAGTTTACTGCGCCTCGGTTTCTGGAACAGCAACCTCAGATTTGTCGCCCTTACCCCCGTCTCTAGCTATTTCGCAGAAGGCTGAACTTTTTGGTTATTTAGATTCAACCAACCTTGGCAACACGACCTCTCAAGGGGCTGCCCTCCTCCGCCCCCGCCTCTCCCCATTCTCTGGAACAGCTGTTATCGCGTCCTGTGCAAAGAACCTTGAAGGATGGCAGCCGTTTGGTAAGTTTCATAGCGGAGGAAGAGGGCTGGAGTGTAGGAGTTCGATACCCTATTAAGCCCCACTTAGTACTCCGGGGCGCCCCGCCGGGACCCAGACAATACTCGCAGGATCAACAGCTCTCCTAGCTCCGGGACCTGGTGCGGCGTGAGGAAGAGTCCTGGGAAGAATCACGGCCCTATCTGGATCGGCCCGCCCCTGTTGTCCCCTCAACTCCTCTGGGCCACCCGTCCTTACCTGAGCGTCTTTCCGGATCAGGAACCTAGCGGCTCGCTCGCCTCCGGGTATCCGCAGCCTGCACGCCCCGCCATCAGAGCTACGCCCCCTCGTGCCCCGTCACGCCCCACATAGCCGGACCACGCCCCTCAACCGAGGCCACGCCTCCATCTGACAGATCCACGCCCCACTAGGCCCGTACGTACTGCCCTGGTAACAAACCGTGCCAGTCTCGCCCTCCACCCTGGCCGTACCGCTTTAGCCACAGCCACGCCCCTCTCTCCCGGACCACACCCCCATCCCACTGCTCAGTCCTAGCCCCGCCTCTGCGCTCCGCCTGGGCTCGTCCCTCTAGCCTGGGCCACGCCTCTGGCCCCGCCCTCGCCCCCCCTCCTGCTCGCTGCTGGCCGCATTTGTGCATTGAAACCAGACCAGGGGCTTCAGAGCCTCATCTAAAAAGTGACTTTCCCTCTGTTCCTTCCATCTCCAAACACCACGACTTGATGTGCTGGGAACAGGTGACTTAGTAGGGAAACAAACACTGAACGTTTCCTTTCCCGCTAGTTTTCATGTCCAACTTACCCGAGTTTCCTTGAGCCAGTTTTTATGTCCTCTGAACTCGAACAGTGGACTCGTGTTCCTTTCAGCCCAGTTTTCATATCCTTTAAAGCAGAGCCGTGGATGTGTTCCTTCTAGCCTCTTAGCCGACCTCAAATGCTAAGCAGGTGAGTGGAAAATAACAGAATTCCTCTACTTCCTGATGTCTCCTCTAGATGGCCTTTCCTAGGCACCCAGTGCCCTGTTGCTGCCGAGGGACTGTGGAGACATCACCCCCACTTTGTGCTTTGAGATTACTCTGCTATCCTTCCTCCCTCCATTTACAACTCTGGGTCCACGTGAAAAATATGAAGAAGCCATAACCAGCTTTCTTTCCCTGTGTACATAAATCTCTGACTCATTCGTGCAAGTTTCATTTATTAAGTACATGCTCCCCTGACAAATAAGACAAGCCTCAAGGAGCTTACAGTCTGAAGTTGCCCCAACTTGGGTTTGGATGAGAAAATTGGGGAAGATGTGACAAAATGTTGATAGGTGGAAAAGGACTTGGTAATCTTAGGTCTTCTTGATCCCGTTAGTAGAAATACTTTGGGGTAGTAAACATAGGAAGCCGCTTTTATAGTACTTAGCACATTTCTTTACACAATAAATTATCAATAAATCTTAACTGAATATCTACTCTTCCACATGTATAGAAAGATATAATTTCCCCCCTTTGTAGAAGTAAAATTTGCTACTTGTACTGCTTCATATGCCAACAATAAAGATTTTATGATCACACAGTGCTTTTTCTTCTCTTCCCACCCTCCCTTGCATTTCTGGCTTGAAGACAGTGAGAATATTAAAAATGTGGGTTAGAAAAAACACAGAGAAAAGACCAACTTTCAACAGAACACTTTCATTATGCTCAACCTGACCCTGAGAACTCTGCCTCATTTATAAAATGTTTCAACTGTCAGTCATTTTTCGCTTGAAAAATGAATTCACAGAAATTGGTTCAAATACAGCCTATATAAATTACTGATTTGATTTGTATACAAGTAGTTCTACCTCATCTTCTTCCACAAATGATTTGAGGCAGCTTACTAAAATATAGACATTACTAGCTTTAAAAAGGAGAAGGAACCAAGGAAACAAGAGCTTAATGGAAAGAGAATGATGTGGCCAATGATAAAATTAACATTCAAGTTTGCACTCCATCAGATCCAGAACAGTTGTCAGAAGCAGGCCAGAAATTTGACCCTAACTAAACTGTTGAATAGCCATAGAAAAGAGGAAATAGCAATCATTTTTAGGTTTCCACTGTTCATAAGATAAAAACTGGTTTTCTTTCTTTTTTTTTTTTTTCCCCAAAGTTTCGTTCTTGTCGCCCAGGCTGGAGTGCAATGGCACGATCTCGGCTCACTGCAACCTCCGCCTCCCAACTTCAAAAGATTCTCTTGCCACAGCCTCCCAAGTAGCTGGGATTAAAGGTGTTTGCCACCATGCCCAACTTTGTATTTTAGTAGAGACGAGGTTTCACCATGTTGACCAGGCTAGTGTCAAATTCCTGACCTCAGGTCATCCTCCTGCTTCAGCCTCCCAAAGTTCTGGGATTATAGGCATGAGTCACCATGCCTGGCTGTTTTGTTTTTATAGAAGCAGTTTTTCTTGAATTTTTGTTCTGAGAGAAATACAGATTCCTCATCAAGATTACATAGTGAGCCTAGTGGGAACTATGTGTCATAAGGAGTGACACCCAAATCCCCTCAGTGAAAACTATTGGCACAATCACAAAGCACAGTGCATTAAATCAATCCTATGAAATGGCCAGGTGCAGTGGTTCACACCTCTAATCCCAGTACTTTGGGAGGCCAAGGCAGGAGGATTGCCTGAGCCCAGGAGTTCAACCAGCCTGGAAAACATGGTAAAATTGCATCTCTACAAAAAATACAAAAATTAGCCGAGCGTGGTCATGTATGCCCAAAGTCCCAGCTACTCAGGAGGCTGAAGTGAGAGGATCACCTGAGCCTAGGGAGGTTGAGGCTGCAGTGAGCAGTGATCACACCACTGCACTACAGCCTGGGCAACAGACTGAGACCCCGTTTCAAAAAAAAAAAATTCTATGAACCATCAAAATATTTCTGTTCACTTGAATACACAGGCCCTCAATGGTCTGGCTTAATCCAGGGTAGCATTTAGATCATCTTTCCCCAGAGTGGCAAATAGGTTTCAACTCACATGTTATCTCTGATCTATTTGTAATAGCTGCCTGAATAACTATGTTGAGAAGTTTTGGGGCTTTATCCAGGCTCAGAAAGAAAAAGTTCTGTGCTCAATTAACAATGCTGTGGGTGTAGGATAGGTAAGTGGCTGCATGCAAAAACCTACTTGGTACCTGTGCTTTGAAGAAATAGAGGTCTTGCATGTAGAACTTTTGTGCAGTCACTCAAAATCAACAAATTCTCACTACAGGGTTCTTGACAAATGTCAGACCGTAGAGAGTTCAAGGTCCCTTTCTAACTCTGATCCACCTATACTGGTCTTCCCATGTTCATACCTGTTTCTGAACATTTTCTTCTATTGTTCCCATTGTTTGCACCACTCTTTAGAGATCTTTACATGGCTGGAGTTTTCTCATTATTCAGTACTTAGCTAAAATGTCACCTCTTTAGATATGTTTTTCCTGACAACCATACCTGAAGTTGTATCTGGAGCCTCTCACTGTGCCCAGAGATCACTGGAGGATCATGTTACAATGCAGACTCTGACTCAGTGGTTCTGAGATGTGACTTGAGATTTGGATTTCAAGCAAGCTTCCAGAAGATGCAATCCTGAGGTTCTATAAAAGACACTTTGAGGCCAGGCCAGTGGCTCACGCCTGTAATCCCAGCACTTGGGGAGGCCGAGATGGGTGGATCACCTGAGGTCAGGAGTTCGAGATCAGCCTGGCTAACATGGCAAACTCGCGTCTCTACTAAAAATACAAAAATTAGCCGAGTGTGCTTGTGGGCACCTGTAATCCCAGCTACTCAGGAAGCTGAGGCAGGAGAATCACTTGAACCCAGGAGGCAGAGGTTGCAGTAAGCCCAGATCCTGCCACTGCACTCCAGCTTGTTGAATAGCCATAGAAAAGAGGAAACAGCAATCATTTTTAGGTTTTCACTGTTCATAAGATAAAAAATTGTTTTCTTTCTTTTTCTTTTTCTTTTCTTTCTGAAGTTTCGCTCTTGTTGCCCAGGCTGCAGTGCAATGGCACGATCTCGGCTTACTGCAACATCCGCCTGCCAGGTTCAAGTGATTCTCCTGCCTCAGTCTCCCAAGTAGGGAACATTATATAAAATATAAACATTTTATAAAATGTTGAAACATTATATAAAATGTTTCAAATGTAAGACATTTCTTGCCCGAAAACGGAAACAAAAAATGGCACCAAATATGGTTTGTATTAAGTTACTGTGTTTAGCATCACATATTAGTTCCCTTCTTTTCTCACCTTCCATTCTATTTCTGCCTTGAAAACAGTGGGAACACTCTCAACTCACTGCAACCTGAAGTAAGATTTCATCTTCAAAAAAAAAAAAAAAAAAAAAAAAACACTTTGAGTAACAGCTTCACCTCTCCATTTCTATTACCTATTTTATTTCTTCATAGTGTTTGTCAGTATTTGAAATTATTTCATTATTTGTTGGTTGGTTGTTTACTAGAATGTAAATTCCTTAAGAGCAGGGACTCTGACCAATCTGTCCAACTTTGTAGTGCTGGCAGTTAACACAGTACCTGGAGTATCAGCAGATGCCCTTTAAATATTGTTAAATGAATGGCTTTATGATTCATCAATGCCTTTATCTGTTCAGTGACTGCTCAGTTATATCCAGGAACTAAACTGTAAATGATAGAAGGCAGTGCTACTCAAGTGGTACTCTATGAACTGCTAGGTATTCTGCTTCAGGCTGAGAAAAGCTTGAACTAGAATGTAAATCCAATATGTCATTAAGCATAGTGGTTATTTAGGATGCCATTTTTTTTTCTTTTTTCCTTTTTTTTTTTTTTTTTTTTTTGAGACAGAGTTTCACTCTTGTTGCTCAGGCTAGTGTACAATGACATGATCTCGGCTCACTGCAACCTCCACCCCTGGGTTCAAGCAATTCTCCTGCTTCAGAAATCCCGAGTAGCTGGGATTACAAGCATGCACCACCATACCCAGCTAATTTTTTGTGTTTTTAGTAGAGATGGGATTTCACCATGTTGGCCAGGCTGGTTTTGAACTCCTGACCTCAGGTGATCCACCCACCTGGGCCTCAAAGTGCTGGAATTACACACGTGAGCCACCGCACTCAGCCAGGATGTCATATTTTTCCATAGCCAGGCTTTCTTGATCTGATTAGTAGGATATTTCTAGGCAGGAAACACGGGAAGCCACATTTACAGTACTTACTACAGTCTCTTACATAATACATCTTCACTGTTTGCATGACCTTTTAACTAGTTTGTAGAGCTACCCTTTTTCCCCCTCATAGCAGCAAGATTTGCTACATATAATTCTTCATCTGCCAGCAATAAAGATTTTACTTTTGTTTTTTTTTAACAGTAGAGATTTTAGAATAAGATATTAGTTCCCTTCTTTTCTCACCTTCCATTCTATTTCTGTCTTGAAGACAGTGGGAACATTCACAAAGTTGAGCTAGAAGGACCACAGAGAAAAGAACAATTTTCCCACAAAACATTTATTAAGTTCACCCTGACCCTGAGAATTCTGCCTCATTTATATAAAATGTTTCAAATGTAAGACATTTCTTGCCTGAAAGCAGAAACAAAAATTGGCACCAAATATGGTTTGTATTAAGTTATTGTGTTCATTTTTATGTAGTTAGCAACAGTTCATCTTCTCCCACAAATGATTTGAGGCAGTTTAGAAAATTAAAGACAATATTGGATAAAAGAAATAGCTGTGCCGTTAAAAGAAAGTCAAAGGGGGAAAAAATTAAAAAAGAAAAAAGAATAAGAAAAGAAATAGCTGAAGGAATCAAGGAAAGGGAAGCTTAAAGGAAAGATAATGATGTAGTCAATGATAAAATAAACAAGTAAGCAAGCCTGAACTTTTTCCTTCTTAGCACAGAGGAAAATTTCCTTGTTAAAGGCAGG